AGACATGTGTAAGATTGCATCTGAGCCTTCGAGTGTGTTGCATGATTATGGAAATGGTGTTGGTATACGTCAAAACTTTTCTTCTAACAATGATCTTACCAAATTGACTATGAATATTCCAATATTTTCTCGTAATCAAATTCTTCTATCACTCATTGACAATAATACTTAAAAAATGCTCAACAATTGTCACAGAATTCTTTTTTTTTAAATTCAACATAGATTTTCCAACTACGCGATCATAAAGAACGACTTGAATCTTTTTTTCTTTATTTACATATTCTTGTTATTTATTCAAAAGTATTACTGTAGCATGTTACATATTTCTTCGTTACTCATGCTATTTCATCAACACAACATTTATTTTGATTATAGTTTTTATTTCTAACAAAATAAACGCACATATGTAGTTAAAGCAGCATGACATGATGGGGTGATTGGTATTGATATATTTGAAAGATCTAAAAGATCAGAAATTTTGTCACTGGGCCAAAATTTTAGCTCACTTGTTTCAAATGCTTCATTGTGTGTTTGTGAATTATAACGTTGTTGTAATTCACTTGATGTCAATGTTGTTCTAAGGCAAAAGTCAAAAACTGGTCGACCATAACGTTTTTGGCTTCGCATAATAATAACAATATAAAAATCTGAATCAATAAGAAGACTATTTCTATCAACATTGGTTTCATTAACACATTCAGCAATAGTTGATGAGATAATTTCTTTAATTATATTTTCATTAGTATATATTTTTAAATTCTTTGGTTCAGGATGGCCACCAGGTAAATCATACGTGTTTGGTAGATCAGCACAAGCAGAACTTCGTTTAATTAAAACAATATAATTATCAGATGTTATAAGAATACATGAAACACCGAGTGGATGTGCTAAATGATCTTCTGTTATATATTGACGAATTTCGTGTGGTACATCTTCTTGTTGAGTACACATAAATGATTTATAATCAGTTAAACCCAAATTAAGAATGAATTGAATTGAATTATTTTCGTTATTAATTTTCGTTTCAACTGAATGTAAACGAAATTTTGATTCATTGAATAGAACTTTTCCTGATTTAGCATGATTCAATAAATCATTCCATCTATCATCAAGCTTCTTTTGAATATCACTTGGTAATGGTTTAGCATTGTATAATTCAGGATTGAAATTAACTTGAAATTCATTGAATTTCAATGGTTTTTGTAAATTTAAAAGATCGATCCAAGAGGATGACATGTGAATAGTCTTAGTCAGTTATGGTAATGGTAATGAGTTTCAAAAAAAATCCAACAAATTAAGGGAAAATTGTGCCAATGGGCATATTATCTTATATGATAGTTTTCCTTTCACTATATGTTGTTGTACAATTGATATAACGTAGTTTGCATAGTTAGCTTTACTTTTGCGGTTAACTATATATGATTGAGTCTCATTCTCTTTCTGTAGTAATGTCCTTCTCATGTTGTATCATCATTCACTTGTATAGTATACATATTGTTACATTGCTGTCCTTACTCTATTGTTCTTCCATATCTGTTGTCTCCTTGGTCTCATCTCCTTTCTTTTCATCCCCTCTTACTCGATCCGCATATACAAACGTGTGCTTTGTATGTAAACGATACGATTATATGATATGATAGGATAGAATAAAGTGTAACTTCATTCACACTAATATACCTTCTATCATTTATCGTCACAAAAATGTGAATATCATCTTAGAGGCACATGAAAAGGCGTAATGGTGATTGAATTTAGCACGAAAAAGTAGCCGCAAATAGGCGATGATCGTTTGAAAAATAGAATCCTCTTGATCTATGGCCTGCTAAATCTAAGATAAAATGCACTTTAACATACACATCAATCTTAATACAAACGAAAGAAAATCAACATGAATTTTTTAAAATAATATATCAATAAATGTGAACCAACAAATAGAACTCTTTCTAATCAAAAACTTTTGATCAGCAATATAATTTTTATTTTTTTATTTATCTTTAACAGACACTAATGAAACATATTTGAGAAATTCTTTTCTGATAAAGTGACTTTTGTACCATCCTACATATTGTTTTTTTCCTACCTGTGAACAAGTAAAATTTTCTTGTTGAGATCAATAGTAGTATTTAACAAAGGTTCTCACTGATCTTGTCCGTATGAATTTGAAATGTGAACATGCCTGTATCCTTGGTAAAAAAAATGAGCCCGTTTGATCGAGTCATAATGGAGATATTCAATTTTTAGTGTGTCTGTTTCATGACTTATTGGACATCCTATAGATCAATAATTTAGACCTTTGATACTGACAGATATAGGTAAGCTATTCAGTTAAAATGTGATAAAAAAATTTAATTATATTGTAAAAATTCATTTTAATGGTAGCAAATCGAGGAAATGCACAAATTTATATAAATGATGATTACAAAAAATTGCATTTATCATATTGATTGATGTTAAGAGAAAAACAATTTAAATAGTAAAATCAACTTTGTTGTTTCTAGTAATCAATCATTCAATCATCGACTCAATATAAAAGAATATAGTTTGTTGTTATTTTCAATACCATCCCCTATATCTATATATTTTTACATAATGTAAAAGGTTTCTGTGTCGATTTCTAATGAATCAGAACAAAGATTTGAAGTTTAATTTGAAGAAATTGATCTGTTGAATGGTTAAAATTGTTGAAGATTTAAAAAGTAAATACTAAAATGGTAAATTTTGTAAGACATATTTCTTTAAAGTTTACTCTAATTTAGAGCAATGGTTTCATATGTCGAATCAATAAGGACCACATCTATATGATCAACCGAAACTATTACTCTCACATCGAAAACTTCCAGAAGTGCCAAAATCATTCTTCTCTTCCTCACTTCAAAGTCACTGTACTCTGAGCCTTCATAGTCTCCATCAAAATTTTCAGGGTCACTAGAACTTCTGTTACGTCCTGAAAATTATAATTTATAGATGATTTTGAATAAACTCTTCTATTGATCTTACGTTGAAGATAATGGTGAGGATGATGTCCACCCAAGTTGATAATTCAGACCGTCTGAAACGACGCTTTAAACTCCCTAAAACGGTGGCAAAATGACGTGATTACTGCCCTAAACGATAAAAAATGATTACGTTTTGTCTCCGGTTTCTGTAAGCTCGAATTACTGACCGTTTTTTCCCTGAACGTAAATGGCGCCGTTTAGGGTGGTTTCAGTCGAAAACCGACGCGCTGTATTAGAACCGTACTAACCCAGATTTTTGCTGTATACGGCTCATTTTCATTACTCGAATTGCAGCCTAGGTAGCGTCCTGCATATATTATCTATTATAATACGAAGCGTTTCATTACATTAATAGCATTCCTGCATACAGATTCTATCGTTACAAATTATATTCAAAGTAGATGTATGAAAAAGGGAGGTACACAGACGCAATAATCATGCTTAGTGTGCGTAAAAATACCATTAAACATCCCTTTAGATAAACTAGGTCACTAATAAAATAAACTAAAATGTCAAAGATGTATTTTGTAATACGTAACTCACTACAGTCATTTTTCGCGGTTTTGTAACATTTATCAGTTGTTTTTTTGATATGCGGTAAGTAATATCAATGAAGGTTCGATAAACTTCTTAGTAGGCATCTAGAAGACAAATGAATGGGTTCTATCATATGTAGAAATTACCTATGAAAAACAATGATGGACGAAGAATATGTGAAGATGTGCACATTTACTCAATAACTCGATATTAATATCATGTCAATCATCGTGACACAAGAAATAGGAATGTTTTTGTAATGCGTACGTCATATTGTCGAATAGATCTCACCAAAATCTATATATCGGTACTTAAACCAATTAAAAAAAGTTAATTGGAACCTCGTATTAACAAGAAAAGCGTATAGTGCAGTTCAATCTTAGCAAAATACTCCCGCTAAACATTTGAAATTGGTTTAACCAGGAATGGTAGGTAACATCACTACGATTTATCTACCAAATATCATCAGAAGATATCTAATGATATTTATGACATACCTTTTTGAGTCCATGCGAAAACGACTTGAAAACGGGTTTAAACCGGTGGTTAGAACAATGATCGTAACGGATGTCGTTTAACACCATATTTTGTGAAATTCTCATATATTTCCGAAGAAAATAGTGACTGTAAATTTTAAGTCGAAGTTTTCCGACTCGCTCACTTTCTCTCTTCCCATTACAGAAACTTAGCAACGAGGGTCTCCGCCATTACAGGCAACGCCATTATGAATTTTAGCAACTGAGAATAACATACGTCAGACTTTCTAGAATTTTATAGTTGACTCTATTATATGATCCTGGTAATCTACGAAATTTCACAAGAATCCATATAATTCATGAATATTTACAATCCGCTTTATTCTATTTGCTTTCATCTCTGATTTTTACAACGCTCACATTCAGACTGCGCATAGTGCTTCTATCATAACAGAAAGAGACGCAAAAATACATCGCTTGAAATTGCATTAGCTTGTGTAAATAACATACTCAACAAAATGTCAACAGCAATTGTCGATGAAAAACAGGCGTGTCTCATTACAACGTTACACAACAGTGTTTTATAAGGCATTGTGCGCATCGAAGAAATTCATAAGCAGAAAAAAGACAGATGCGTACGAGTAGTGCAGCTGTTGCTGGGTATTACGTGCCCAAATACACTTGGAAACTAAAGTTGGTAAGTTATTTAGAGAATTTAGAAGATCAAGAATTATCTCTCCAATGTCAATAGCAAAGTCGTCCGCCGCAAACATCGGCAAAATCGTTTAAGCCTCCTCAGTCAGTCAATGCTGATATTTCCGCAATTGACGAAATTCCGTCGATAGTGAAGTAAATAGTGAGGCAATAAAATTGTTGTATTAGTTATCTCCATCATGTTCTAGCGGAACTAATAAAGGCTTCCTTTCATCAACTGCAGGTAAAGTACTTATAGCTGGGATAGTCCTATGTGCATTTGGTGCAGCATTCGCCATCCCAGTTGTCCTGCTCCTGACAAGTTCAACGGGTGAGCGTGGAAATTTTGTGGGTTTTGCTATAATATAATCTTCCGTATATAAAAGAGTGATGCTGAGCTGCAGACCTTGAAGTCGAAGCTTTTTGCATGAATACACAGCATGTAATCGATATTTCATTTGAAAAACTATAGTTGCCAGTGATATTAAGAAGAAACATGACATAAAGATTCTTATTACTTTGAACTAATGAGGGAACATTCCCAGGTGCACATTCGCTTTTGATTTGATCTAAGCCATTGATAGCTTCGTAGAATTTCGAACAGTTTCATGATATATTGACGAAACCATCTTTAGTCTCGATGTCCATGTAAAGGTTTCGTATTTTCTATGAGTAACTATCAATAGTTAGATAGAGTATCTAAAGGTTTTATATTATTTGTACAAAATTATTCTTCATTGCATTAACTATATAATGGTTTCGTATATTTTACACAAAATCATTGATTGTTTCGTAAAATATGCAAAGATTTTGCGTTTTTCATACAAAACTTTGCATAATTCCATTAAGTATAAACAGCCTCCGTGTGCTTCCTAAAATTTGTATATGGTTTTGTACACTATTGAATGTTTTTTATTATTTATTATCTACGCTTGCGCATGGTTTATCGTTAATCTCACTACTTTATTTACCTTGAAATCTGTATTTGTTCAGTCGTACAAACAAACGTCAGAACTTACTGCTATAAATTATGAAAATGTGAAAAAGGATCGCAGAGAAATAGATGCACATATTTCTGAGAAACAGAATTGAGGAAAGAAATGCAGCGTGACAAAATCTAGATAGCGAGAACAATGAGTAAAGTTTACCTATCAGATTGAGGAAATAATTAATATTGTATCTAGCTAAAAAATGGCATGTCTAACAGTCAAAAACACGAAGAAATATATGTTACTAAGAACTTATCAGTATCTGTACCTTATCGAGAATTCCAATACCAATCAAAATGTTGTTAAGACAATTACGCAATATGCAGAAAAGCCAAAGCATGTACTCAATATACAAGTAAGAACACCATTATCAAACAAGAACGAAAATTTCTTAGAATAACGAGTCTAATATTGCGTACAATCATTGAGCAGTGTTAGTTCACCACCGAACCTTTTGGATATTTATCATCTTATCGATTTTACATCTTAAACTTATAAAAGCTTATTGTATACATAGCAGAAATACTATTCTTGAGGACAAGAGC